CATAGGTAAACTTGTGCCATGGGGGTTCGTTGTACAGATTATTTCATCACCCAGGTATTAAGCCTAGTACCCATTAGTTGTTTTTCTTGATCTTCTCCCTCCCGCCACCCTCTTCCCTCCAAAAGGCCTCAGTGTGTGTTGTTCCCTCTATGTGTCCATGTGTTCTCATCATTTAGCTCCCGCTTAAAAATGAGAACATGCAGTATTTGCAAAACCTATTCTTTTTTATTGTCAAATCCAATTGTAAAAATTGGTCATGCCCTTTTTGCAAAATATTTTTTTTGTTACTGCTTTTGCAAGTAAAATATCTTTCATCTAAAACCTGTAGATATAGCTTTCCTCCTATTTTTCTCTCTTAGGCAGTCTTAAGGGTCAGAATTCTGTAAGGTTAAGAACGGTAGGAGTTAAAGGATTTTCTCTTTGTCTTTGAAAATTAGTTACAATTTGAATCAGTAGGGAATTTTCATACCGTAGTTTTTGCTGGGGGTGAGTGGTGGTTCCCTGTGTTTATCAGTCTTTGTCTGCACACATTAGAAGCTCAGGGCCATCTGGGGGAGATCTTGCTACTAATCAGTTTTCTTCTTTTCCGCCCATTCTACACTATATTATTTTCTAGTGAAGGCTTTTAATGAAACAAGTTAGGAAAACTGGCTGGTCTGGGGTAGGTGGTAGTGGAGATTGGAGTTCTAGGTAAGAAAGGTAAGAGTTATAGGAGGGTGGAGCTTAGGCATCAGATTGCATGGGACCAAGCCAGGTTTAGAGTTCAGTAAAAGCACTCTCAACCAGGTATGGCAGCGTAATCAAAGTGATAAGGCGATGATCGGCGTCAGTTCAGTTAAACAAAAATTCCTGAAGTTCATCCTGAGAGCCCAGCTGTGAGCAAGGCTGTGGAGACACACAGGTAAATCAGGAACCTCTTGAGGGGTTTGCAGTCTAATGGAATTACAAACACTGACCACGAGCCTGGATATGGAATCGAAATACAGTTGCAAGGAGATGACGCAGTAGCTAGAGTTTAGCTGCTATAAGAGTCTTGGAAGTTGTTAGGACTTAGCTATCAAGACACAGGCGGGGGATATGGAGCATGACCGTAAACAGGCTGCGCCTCCAGACACAGGTCATTAGGGAGTGGAGGGGCAGCAGCAGGTGAGCGTGATTTACAGCAGTGACTCACTTTCTTTGTGCTTCTGTCTGTGCCGGAGTCAGTTTTGCACCCATGCCTAGGAAGATGAATCCTCAAGTAGAAAGCAAAAATGTAGGGGTTCAGATCTTCCCTATCGGAAACTCTGGGGCTGATGCTGAATGATTTGTATTTCAACCATCCCTCCCAGTGATTCTGATGTGAAAGTATGAGAACATTTAGAATATTTTTCCCTCCAATCTATTTTTTTCCCTTAATGAGCGGAATGTGAAATTATACTCTCAGACAGGTCGTTATCTTATCCCTTCCCTCTGTGTTCCACACTGTTGTAGTCACAGCTTTTAGGTAATAAAAACATTAATGCTGATTAATGTTATCTCTATGCTGAGATACAGGTTGAAGAAAACTTGGCTGTTAATAAAAAGCAGTTTCTTCAGTATGTTTTAGATACTGCAGACTATCTTAGAATCTCCATCTAGTTATTTATCTCTCAGTAAATAATCTCTTAAGCACTGCCATCCAAAATGAGTTTTAAAAATTCTTGTTCAGGAGTATTTAATATAATTACTGATATTGTACCAGGCATTGCCTTAGTAGTCTTTCACTGTGTTACATGTTAAGTAGTCTCTTGTGTTCTTGCTTAGGAAGGTAATTGCCATTTATAATATTCTTCCCATTAGAAGATACATTCTTAATTCCAAACAGATGACTTATAATTAACTTAGGATACACAGCTTGCAAGCTGAAGAAGTCCTGTGTGTAAACTCAATGGGATATAAAGATATTTGACAGTAGTGTTTGCTAGTTGCTCATAGATGCAGATGCTTTTTCTTATGGGTTCTTAAGTCATTAATTTCAATTGTGCATCTCCCTTAACAAGCATACATAAGGTATTTTTGTTATTATACCATGCCTTTGCCTTTAGTTTATAAATAATTTGAATCAGGAAGTTGAAGTGGCTTTCTGAAGAATATACTATCAGAAGTAGGTGAACCCTAGATCCATCAGTTTCTCTTGTGTTTCATCAGCG